ACTCCGGCGGTCCAAACTTTGGACATCTTGGAACGGAAAGGTGACAGGACAGAGGCCGTCTGGAGAGTCGTTCACGCCTTCCCCGCTCCCTCGTCCTTTTCGTCACTCGCATGTTATCATTGAACTAAGTGCGTGATGTCATTGGCACCAAACGAAAAAAAACTCAAAATCTCATCGTGACTTGGTGCGCCGTAGGAAATGGAGTGCAGTCGTTTGGAGGAGCAGCTTCAGAAGACTCTGTCAGATCTGGAGACCAAGGAGAAAAATCTGGTGGAAGCCGAGCTGAAGGTGCTTCTTCTCTTCTCTGACGCGTCCTCGGCAATGTTTTTGCGACGCGGGCCCCGCCCCGCGCTGTCCTCTCTGACACGTCTTTGATGCGGCGGCCGCCTCCTCAAGACGCAAAGGCTGCAGTGGGACCTGCGCGCCGAACACAAGCTGGGCCAGAAGGAGGCGCAGGAGACCGTCAAGAGGCTGCAGCTGGAGTGCGACCACCGGGTGGCGCTGGAGCGCGACAAAGCGCGCCTGATGGAGGAGGAGCGAACGCGGCTGCTCAAGCAGGTACCTCCGACAGATCGCCCGCGGCAAACTCTCGAGGCCGTCGGCGGGTTTATTTCCGCCATGAAAACAATAAAAATGCAGCGGCAGTGACGTCATCTGAAGCGGTTTCCCGTTCCGAACTTTGTCCTCAACTCATTCACCCCCCAAAGACGTTTTTAAATGTCTTTTCAGACTTGGTCCAGAATTGGCTGGTACTGAATGAGTTAAGAGACAGGAAGTGGCACTGCCTCGCGCTCCGCTCGGTAAACAAACACACCGCAGCTCAGCTTCTGACCAGCGGGACGTCGCGGCTAGCGCAAGGAAGCCGTCAACTTCGAACCACGTACATGCCAATCTGAGTTTTGGCCTTCGTGACACCGTCGCGATTAAATCCGCATCTAATCCCACCCCCCCAGGTTGCCGAGAGATTCGACCAGATGGCAGCAAAGCGCTGCATTTCTATCTTGACAGTGCTGGCCAAACTAAATAAAGCTCCTCCCTATGACTTGGGACCAAGATGGCGCCGAAGCGACAGCTTCGGATTAGCTGGATGGGGCTTTTGGCCTCAGCACAAAAGCAGGAAATAGGGGAGTTTTTCAGAAAATAAGAGCACCACCCGCTCCCCCCCCCCCCGAATAAAAATGGCAAATAATTAGATGCGTTCACCCTGCGTGTGACCTTCAGTGTGGCCCACCAAGAAAACCAGTTGGACACCCCCAGTAGATGGTCGTGTCATTATCTGGTCGTCGAGAAAGAAAATGTGATGGGGTTATTTTATTGAATTTTTTTTGGTCTTTTTCTTGTGGGGCGGTGCGCACGTGTTCTTCAGATCACCGACAGCGAGAACCGCTACAAGCAACTGGAGAAAGACTTCCATCACTTCAGGGAGCAACAGAGCGTCAAGCCCCAAGCGCGCCTCCAATCCGAGATCAACATCCTGACTCTGGAGAAGGTAGCGGGCGCCGCACGCCGACAAGGACGCCTGAAGCGCGCGAGCGTGGCGAGTTGACTTAGCGGTTCTCGTCCACCAGGTGGAGCTGGAGAGGAAGCTGGAGTCCACCACCAAGTCCAAACTTCATTACAAGCAGCAATGGGGACGAGCGCTGAAGGAGCTGGCTCGCTTCAAACAGGTACGACACAAGGTTTCCCGTCCCGCAACTTTCTTCTCGCTCTTCTGCCTGGACCTGGACTCGCCTTTCCCAAAGCCTCGGTCATCTCTGTCCTTCCCGAGTCCGCTGTCCCGCAACTCGACTACCGCCAGGGCTCCGGGCCGCCTGCCCCCCAAAATGTTGCCACCAAAATATGATAAAACGTCCACCTCCGTCTGGAGACCTGCACGGCTGATTTCGCAACTCGCGTCAACAAACTTCCATGCCACAAGATGGCGACAAAGTCCCTTTTTTTTCTCCCCCCCTCCCAAAATCGAACTGCGCTGGCTTTCACTGTTCCCTCCTTCCTCTCGCTCTCCATTTTTCACGTCGGACGCATTGTTTTAGTTTTCGTCATCTCGGAGCGCCGCCGCTCTGCCCGTCGTCGAGGTTGCGGCGGCAGGACGAATGTTGCTTTTCCCCGCGGGAGGCGGCGGGATTGAACGCGCAGATGAAAGCCCGACTCGGAAAGCTTTTCAATCCCAAATATTGGGACAAGCGGCGCCAGTCCATCTTCCCCGAGCGCAAATATTGGGACAGTAACGAGGTCCGGCATCCACCTTGTTATTGTTCGGGCCCCCGCCGAATGTTCCCGCCGCCCGTTCTGACTTTTTAACGGCCAGAAAGTGTTGAAAGCAAACGTGTTTAGTCTTCTTTTATGGAGCTGACAGAGTGCTTGCACCAGGACCACACAAACATTCCAAAATCTTCCACTGGACTCTGCTGGCGATTTATCTTCTGCTGGGCACATTTCCTTTTTGTTTTGCTGACGAGTTGACTTCTGGGAAAGGCGCGAACGTCTCGTCGCAGAGACCGCGTACCGTCACCCGTCCTATTTCGGCGGCCATTTTCGGGTTTGACCGCCGGTGGGCCGTCAGGGGGAGCGAGGCCTTCTCTGCTGGCCCAAACGCGACCGCCGGCGTTTCCGACTTCCAAGCCGACGCGGGGCCGCCTTTGGCGCGCGCAACACGTGACGAAAGCTGTCATGTATGAACTCATGACTTGATGGATTCACTTCCTGGTTTGGTCTGTGACATCAGTCAGAAAATTGGTTGATCGTTCAGGAAAAGCAGATATTTGCAAATGTCTCATTGACGTTTTTTCCGCTCGGCACTAGAACCAGGATTGGTTTAAAAAAAAAAAAAAGTGCAGCCGTTGGTCCCAGTGGCTGATCTCATTCCTAAAATGATGCATCGCTGCCATCTACTGGTGGTTGTGGGCCAGTCAAGTTAGTTTGAGGAAAGCCTGAAATTTCAATCGGAGCAGCATCAGACCCGTCGATTCAAGATTAAAAAAAAACAAAGTGAAAGAAAATGGGGGTTTTTGTCACAATTCTTGCCTTCAGCAGGAATATTTGCTCCGGGACCGCTTCTTCAACCGCGCACATTTCAAATTCCTTCTCACAGGCCCTCTGAGATGTGGCCATTGTCCCCCCCCCGCCCATCCTCCGAACTTGTTCCAACCGACTTGGACGGGCAAAAACCCGTCCAAGTCGCGATGTGGGGCCATCAATGTATTTGGCAATCGGCACGGGATGAATTGGAGATCTTGATTCCCAACGGCCGCACGTGCTGTCGCGGTCCGGGCGTCGTCTCTTTGCCGTCTTATTTGTGGTCAGCGTCGGACCGAAGGCGTGGCCCGCCACTTAGCTTGACCTCTGTGTGCGACAATGGGAATTAGTGGGGGGTGGGGGGAGTGGGGGGGGGCGCTGTGAGATGAATGACTCGATGAGTTTTGGGAGCTTTTCTGCTGGCGGAGGACGTGACCTGGACTTGTCCTTGGCAGCGCGTCTCGCCAGCGTTTGTTATTCCAGCAATTAGCCCGAAGGCGCTGGCTAATCCAGACGGCCGCTCGCTCCTCGGGGAGCCACTTGTGTCAACACGTGTGTGCACGTGAAGCATGTTTTTCCTCCGTGCCCCGATTCCCGCCGAGCTCCACTTTTCCCATCCACCGTCGGGCTGTTTTTTTTTTTTCTTTCCTCTCCGCCGCATGCTGACAAACTTGCTTCTGTCCCGCCTTCACTGTCTGACTGGATTCCCGCCCACGCCCCCCCCCTTGAATATTATCTGAATTTTTTCTAAATTCAGTCCAGGCATTTCCTTTTCATGAAACCTGCAAAGTGATACATCCGCACATTTGTTTACTTTCTTGACTTCTGACGAGCTGCACTTTTTTTTTTTTTTTTTTGTTAATATTTATTTGGCATGTGAACACTTAATTGCGTGTTTATGAACAGTGTACACGGGAAGAGCCCTTGGTGAAAATCATCGCCTATGAAATCGCAGTCGCGGTGTTTGAGAAGATCAAAAGAAGTCTCGAAGCCGTTGGCGTGCCGCGACGTTGGCTTTTGGTCAGCCAAAAGCCGACCGTGGAAGCCGACTTGACGCGTGAGGTCAAACACCGAGGCTTTTATTAAAAGGCCGACTTTTGGAATTTATGCGTCGCGTCGGCATTCAAACGCAACGGAGCTTTTTTGTTTTTGCTTCGGTGATTAATGAGCGACTTGCCGAACGCCGAGCGAGCGAGACGACAGTTATATGACTTGGAGGCGCGCCCCCCTCCCCATCTCGTCAGCCGGCGTGAGAATTCCTCAGCTCTCGCTGCATTTTTCTCACGGAGGTTTCCCGAAAAAAAGAAAAAAAAATTGCGTACAGTGAACCCTCGTTTATCGCAGGGATACATTCCAGACTCGCCCACAATAGATGTACACCGCCCCCACCCCCCAAAAAAAGTGAATCCTACCTGATTTATGAGAAGACTCTTTGAAAGTCTTTCCTCGCGCCTGTTCTCATTCTCCCGCTGTCCAGAAAAACTCGCATGACATCACTTTGGAAATCAAGATGAAAAGGCTTCAAAAACAAAACAAGCGAACTGAAAGTGTGGCCGGCCTACGTTTATGAAATTCTAATTCAGTCCAGCGAAACGGTCATTTGTTGTTATTTGGGCGTTTTTTTTTTTCCCGTCAATCTATCACGCGTGAGCTTTCAGGCCTCAGCCCTGCATTATCCGAGCCGCTTCGTCCTTGCTTGAAACTGCTTTTGAGTCCCTCGCCTCAAGCGCGGTCGACGGCCGCCCCGTGTTGACGTTTGCAGCGCGAGCAGGAGAACGCCGTGATGCGTCTGAAGAAGCAGCAGGCCGAGTTGGACGCCGTGCGGCTGCGCTACGTGGCGGCCGAGGAGAAGGAGGCGGTCCGGCAGGAGCGGCGGGAACTGGGAGACATCAGGAACCGCCTCAACGGGTGAGCGCAACTCGGTCCGCCTCCAGATGTCCGGCCCGGAGCTCGCGGCCTTGCCGCGCCGTCGCGGCTCAAAAGCATTGCCGACTCCGGTTCTTCATCTGCAGCCAGGAGGGGCTCCGGGGTGCCGGCGGCCATTTTTCTGCCGTGCACTATTTGGATCAATGGTGGAGGTGGGAGTTCACCAGGGGTCCGCTCTGAGCCCCTTCTTATTCGCTATGGCGATGGTGTATAAAACTGCGGTGAGACCAGCCTTGCTGTTTGGACTGCCGACAGTCGCGCCGACTGAGGGACGACTCATGTCGGAGGTTTTGGAGAGAAAGTCAGAGAGGCCAGACTGGGGTGGTTTGTAAAGAGAGTGAATATATTGGGAGAAGAGTCTTGAACTGCCAGGCGGGAGGCCAAAGAGGAGGTTGATGGATGTTGTGAAAGATGGCATGAAGGTCGCTGGTGTGAGAGGAGAGGAGGCACAGAACAGGCTTTGATGGAGCCGACCGATTCGCTGTGGCCAAGAATCAGAAGATTTTTCTCCTTTCAAAAATTCCCTTTCCCCAAAATTCAAGTTTCATTTCTAATGGAATAAATTCACATCCTTCCCCATTTGAAATTCACAACATTCAGCTCATTCAATTCACCCCCGTCTTTCGGTCAACATTCACGTTTGCAACTTGTTCCTTATTTCTTCGCTTAGGTTGAAGCAGCAGCAGGGCGGCGTCGGTCCCGCTTCCTCGGCCCCGCCCCCCGGCGTGAGCCACAGCGCCGAGGAACACCTGAGCCGCCTTCTGGAGGAACGCGACACGCTGCTCCGGACCGGCGTCTACGGCCACGACGACCGCATCATCGCCGAGCTCGACCGGCAGATCGGCGACGCCATGGCCGACGCCAGCTGACCAGCAGCCGGCGCGCGGGCAAGGTCGGAGCGCAGCAGGAAAGGTCCCGGCGCGTTCAGGCAAAGTGTTATGCTAAGCTAGGCTAACCCCGTGTCGCGTGTCAATTATGGCGAGAGCTGTTATTTATTTCGAATGATGTGTTTGGTCGTCACGTGACTAGCTGTGAATGTGTTTTGAAAGGAGTGAGCGCAGTCGGCCGGCGCCGCAGCCCGACCCGAGACATTTTCTGAGAAAACATCACAAAACGCAAAAAGTCACTTTCTCTTCTCGATTTTTAGAATGTAATAAAGGGTACATATGATGCTGAAATACCACTTATGTGTCTGGCCCCTCCCATCAAGTGTCAATCACCAAATTGGGGTGTCGCAATTTGATGCATTTCCCACAGCCCTGCGCCGAGCTCGGATGGGTGAAGATCCGCCGTTTCCGAGACATGACACGGAAGCAATACTGCATTAAAGCCAAAAGCTAAGCGCAGCTGCACCGCGTGTAACCGAAAAGACGCGGGGCCGCATTTGTATCGGCTGTACGTGCACCGGATTCGATCCACGAATTGACCATTGAATGAATGAAGTGCTGCTTCTACCGGCGAAAATACAAGCAAATGTTTGCTGACGCTTGCTTTAACAGGTGTCGGTAAATACGGCGAGTGGCTGGATACTTGATACAACTTGGCTGGATACTTGATACAACTTGTCCCACCCCCCACCCCCGTTGCCACGGTAACGACAGCAGTGCTCCGCATTTGCACGCCAACGGACTAACCGCCGCACCACAAAACCGAGCGATTCCGAGTGCGCCGTCGTTTATCGCGCGTCGATTTTTTGACGCAGCAACATTGGAAAGCTTTTGCGATCACACCGTTGGAAATCTGAAATGACGACGTCACAAACAAAATGATTCATCTTCACGAGTTGACAAAAATGGACTCTCTTTATTTGAACCTCGTTTTCTTCTTCAGGTCTCGCGTGTTTCATTTTTAAACTCATGCAAACGTGAATGAGACAAAAAGCTGAAACATTGGGCGGACATGTTTTGTTTTCCCGCCTCATGTACACAACCGCATCCGTCTCGTGTTCGCAGCAGCAAACTTTCTGTCCAACCTAAAGCAGGGCGCACACGTTCGCGTTCACTTGCTGGCTGATCACAGACTCAAAATAAGGCCCATGATCGGGATGTGTGGAACCTACTTTTTTTTTAGGGGGGGAAATGAGCAGATCAGGGAGGAAAAATCCCTCACGCCACTTGGTCTTTTTCCATCCCCCACCACGATGGTGCTGATCATGAAGATCAGAAAAGTGAGGTCATTTTATGGGTATGTGTGTACCCCGCTTTGGACTTGGATGTCCCACATTATTGTTCATTCCACGAGTTTGGCCCATGAGCCAAAAAAAAAAGAAAAAGAAAAGGGCAGAAATTTCAACAAAACAATCAGTCATGTCAAAACGGTTGGAAAACTTTGGTGTGTGAAGTGTGCTCTTTTCTTCTCTTTGGTACAAAAAAAACACACCAGCTGCGCCCAAAACTTGGGATGATGCCAACGCGTGAAGCCGAGGATGCGCTACGTTAAATAACTTCACAAGTCAAAGTGCCGCCACAAGATAAATATTCTTTTTCTTGTCCTCTTTTTAATTTTCCTTCGTTCATGACGTCCGTGACATTTCTTTTGGTTTCTGCGTGCGTGCGTGTGTGTGTGTGTGTTTCTTTGCCCGCTAAATATCCAACATAAAGTTGGACAGTCTTTGGTTTGCTTGTGTGGTTGTCAAACCTTCCATCGTCTCGTCTGTGGTGGTGG